TGAAAAGCAATTTTATTTGCTTTGTGGGCCTTTAAAAATTGTGATTTATAAAGGAAGCAAAGGAGCAGGAAACATCCAGCCGAGTTCTATTATTCCCAAAAGAGAACTAAATGTATTTTAGCATTCATTAACCCTGACATACTTTAAATTCACAGCTGCAAAGAAAATCACTCCTCTTATAAAACATTTTCTCTCAAAGTGTAAACAGTCTTACATCCGCCCTACTTACCTGAACTTTCACCGTTCTGAGGTGAAATGTGAGCAGCTTATGGAGACAAAAGGAGAGGATTGAATAATATGAGCCATAGATTGAATGATAAGTATAAAACCCGCTGAGTTTTCATAAAACACCAACAGTCTGTCCAATGTTTTAAAACAAGCAAACAAAGGGAGGTCCGACCATCTGCTTAGGGCTGTGCTTCATAATGACACTCGATAGGGTTTCTGCCCAGATCCAAAGAACCCAGCTTAAAGTATAGAGTTTAACACCAGATAGGACAGAAGCAAAGCGCTATTTGACTTTATTTATTCCAAATTTAACTCATCTGTTATTGTTGCAACTTTAAGTTTTCAGTTTTGTGATCTTGCAACATAAAATACATAATATTCTTATGTGACTTTATTAAGTATAAGTATTAAACTTGATTTAAAAATGCATACCCAGCATATTGAATATCATAGTTGGCTTTTTTTTTTATTAATTTACTTTTTAAAGGTATTTTGATGATTAACACAAAAACAGAGCTTTAATTCTTTTTCTGAGCAGGTCTTGATTTCAGGTGAGATACTAGAGTGGTTTAAAGACTTTCAAATTTTTCATTTTACTGCTAAAATAGAGGCCCATTGATAAGGAAAATGAACATGATACATGGTATTCATTCTATTTTATAACAACTAAAGATCTGAAACCCATAGTTAGTCTGATTTCCCTAAATAAAAGTCTAATATAAACAGGTTCTAACATGTTTTCTGCCTGGACTGCACAGCTTCATGCATCTTCCCAATCTGGATGGCTTAAAATATTATTGACAGGTGGACTAATTACTATTTTATAACTTTTGTAAGAAATTGGTTGTACTATGTTTTATTAGAGACACCGAATGAAAAAGGAGAAGTAAATAAATCCCTTATTTTATTTGGCAAAAAGTGAAAAGCTTTATGAATATGAAAAAAACCTTTTGTTGCTTTAAAACAAAAAATCCCTCAAATTCTTTGAAGTCTGCCGCTTTAGTGCAGAAAAATGTGAAACATTTCAGAGGAATTTTTGAAAAATACTGGAGATACCTGCACTCACAACTCTATCTTTTTTTAATGCCTGCAAATTATTTCAAGGCCATAAAACAATCCAACATTCACTTCTGCTTCATCTAAAATAATCTCAACTAAAAGTTTAATCAAATTCTCTTTTTTAAAACATTTAATCTAGTTAAGCTATAACCAAAACCTTCTAAAACTGCTGTTGCAGATTAGGTAAGTTTATGTTGCTAGACTGGAAACCCAAGTTTTTAGAGAGGTTTCTTGACCCCTGGCAATCACCACCCCCACCAAAAACCAGGCTGGTTAAGGAGGGAAAGGGACATGAGAAGAACCAACACAACTGAAAGAGAAAATTCAAACCTCTGCTCTTGTTCTGCAGTCTAACGTCAATTTATTTTATTAATATCATTCAAGTTTTTCCCTATTTGATGCATTAAAATACCTCCCTTAATAATTCAATTGAATGTCCCTTTAAAGGAACTCATGATTATCCTAACAATAAAAACCTCTATTTTCCTAATTTAAAGATGTCTTCTTCTTTCATCTATTATTAGACAGCCCTTGGAAATACCAAACATATTTTCCAAATGAGTTATTCTTGTTTCTAGAATGCAAAACAAAGATAGTTTTTTTAATAAGCGGACAGACACGGCTTCCTCTGTGGGAAGTTGATACTGTATTTTTGCAAATAAAAAGCACATAGATCTAGAAATGTTATGCTGTTGTGAATTTAAAAGTCACTCTGTATCGTCTAGACCAAGGCGATGTCCTAAACGACCAGCTCTTCAGCCTCTTCGAAAAACACCACAACACACCAGTGAGTAGGGCTGGGCATTTAATTGCATTTGCAATATAATCGCAAATTTAATTTTCAAATCACAGAAGCGCTCATTTTAATCCTACTATAATAAACAAGAATAAGACACTAAATTTTTCCCTCCAGTACTTTGTGTGGTGATTAAAGCCTTAAAGTGGGTTGTTGCCACACAGAAAGTTAGAGAGTGCTGCAGCTAACAGCAGATCCATGCATGCAAGTAGAAGTAAACACTTTTTCACACAATGGTTAAAGAAAAGTTTCAAAAACTGAAAGCCTGGATTAAAACATCTATAAATTTGGAGTTAGTGCAAAGAAAAATCTAAATAAAATCGCAATCGCAATACTGGTTAAAAATAATCACAATTTAGGTTTTTGTTGCTCTTCTTTTTCAATCACACTTTAATGCATACATTCAAAAATGATTTAAAGCAAAATATAAACTCATTTGGCAAGTTTTAGATTCAAACAAACTTAACAGTTTCTGTAGACTTTTCTTCTTCTTTTGCTACATCTAAAGTTTCCTTTTACTTAACAATCACAGGCATTTATTCTATTATTTTATTATGTTTCACTGTTGAAATAATATATGAGATGCATTTTAAATAAATAAGATTTCCAGGCAGTAATAAACTAACCACTTAATTGCAAACAATGACTCTTTTCCGCGCACACTGCAGAAAACTGCCACACGCTGGCTCCTTCTGCTGTCCACAGTCGGCTGACAGACAGGTGGAGCTCAGTGGGGAAATGCGTGCACAACGGTCAAGTCCAGCTTATGAGATTAATCTGAACCAGATTAGAGAGGTCGACATTTTTGCCTGGTTGGAACGTGGTGTGCAACAAGAGAAACTGTAGAAGGAAAGTTGAGGGAAAAAATATTTATTCCATACTTTAGCTACAGTTCCAGCAACTTTCCATTGTATTTTTCTCACATGCTTACTGTCTTTAACCTTTGGTATTTTTTGCAGCATTGTAATAAACACATAATATTTTGAAAGTAAGAGAGTTTGCTTCTGTTCCCTCCATTTTTCATGATGAAAAAAACGTTAATAGATTTTCTTTTTTTTCAGTAGCATTGAAATGGTAATACGAGTAGTTATATGAGCTATTCATTTATTGATAGGATCAAGTGCATGAAAGCAAAAAGCACTTAAGCACACCATTAACAGCTATTTAGTTCCAACAGACCCCAATCAACTTTATGAGGGCAACCTCTCTTAGTGAACTGGAGCCTCAGCTGACTGGCTAAGAAGCATGAAGGTAAGGGAGGAGTAAAATAGTTTGGGCTAAATCTAACACAGCCTACAATAAGTTGAACTCTCTCTCATGCTTATCAACATCAGGATGGTCTCAAAGTCGTGTCTCTGATCTATAAAGCCTGATTATAAAGGTTTAGTATCAGGAAGAGACAAGCAATCTGGGTTTGTTCAAACTGATAGAAGAGAATATTACATTGATCCCATTATGATTTAATTCAGATAAACTTCCACTACCAAAAATGTTTTTGTTTTAGCTATTGTACAATTTAGGTATAAGTTCAAAAGAAAAATGGATGACCAGTTTTATGTGGTAGGGCTAAGATTTAGTTTGGGGAAAAATGGATGCACTTCAGCTACATGCTGCCGTCATCTTTTTACTAATCCAAGGTAACCAATTGGTCTACATCTATAGATTAGGAAAACGTCTAAGCCAATCAGACACAGACTCTGCAATCAGGCTAAACAAATAGCACATACACAAAAACATACTACTCAGTTAAATGCAATCAAGATTATTTAAACTTTTTATTCAAATGCCTATTCCATGGAGAAGGGCCGTGTTTTATTTTTTTTTTTTTTACTCAAGTAGAAAAATTCTTGCACTGGTCTCTGTCTACTTCAGTTGTTGCACATGGGATCCTGCAGAAGGTCTATGGTTCCATCTCCTCGCCTTGTGGAGGTTTGTCCATGTGCATATCAGTGTATGTGTGGACTCACAGAGACACTCCCCCACCCACCCCTACCCCCAGAACATAGTGGATTATATAATGTCCTCACTACGTGCGAGCTGAAGGGTACAGCATGGTGGTTGGCTGTGGCAGTGACACAGATCAGAGGAAAATCCTGTCTAGGCTGTCCCCTAGTGCTCATCTTCAGATTTGTCTGGTCCTCTGTTTTTTAATGTTTCATTTTTATGGATGGCTATAACATCAGTACACAAATTCTTAATTATGTTAAATATCCAATCACTTCAATAAAAATTAATTTCCTTAATTCTTGTTTGCTTTTACGGTGGAGAAAATTATATCAGACAACCACGCATATAAGTAAAAGATAAATAGAGATATTAATACCTAAAATTATAATTGCTGGTAAATTAAATAGTCTCTTTTCATAGCTGTATTAGATCTTAAATTTTGTATTTTAAGGATAAAGTAGGACGCATTTAGACTAGAAATCTTTAAATTTCTTATTTTTTCCCCATTTGAGGAGCTTGAGTGAGTGAGTTCAGGGGTATTTATCTCGGGCAGCTCGAGAGGGCGGAGCCTATGAGAGCCCGCAGCATCACGTGTCACCGCGGCACGCCCTCATAAACATCACAGCCACCTAGGCTGCGGAGCGTCACGCTGCTCTGCACGGGAGAGGGTGACGGCGGCCCTGCTCGGTTTGTTTTTAGCCATTTTTAAAGTGTTCCAGGCTAGTTAAGATGTTTCACTGACGTTGGATTCAGGTGTGAGGAAATAAAAACATGGTTAAGCGCATCAGATGCCGTTCAGGGACACCTGGTTTGCTGACCAGAAAGTACCGGTTGTTCTAATCTCGACTCATTGCTACCAGGAAAAAAAAAAACAACGACGGTAACTTCGATAAAGATCAGCGACGTAGATTCAGATTGTTTCAACCCTTCAAGGTCTGCTTCCTTTAGTGTTCGGGCTAATCGTCCTAAAATGGACCGAGGAGGCTGCCAGATGAGCGGAGGAGGCGGCGGCAGCGACGCCACCGACCGACCCGGGATGATCACCCTGGAGGACCTGGAGTCCTTCTCCGAGGACCAGCTGTCAGACTCCGGCAACGGCAGCCTGGAAGAGGAGGGAGAAACTATGGAGGCAGAAGACAATTCCGACCGACTGCTGCATTACTGGCAGGAAGTGGCGAGAGGACACCAAGTGGAAGTTTCTCCAGGTAAAAACCCGGAAAAAAGGAACAAGTTAATTAAAAAATATATATTTTCTGTTAGGGGTTTAGATATCAGATAAGCTCAAGCAGGAAAAAGCAGGCCTGGATCAACTTTAGGAAAATCCAATTGCTCAGGTCTTCTGAACAGACTGACCTAGATTCCTGACCAACCAGTTCCAGATAGGACATTCCCAGCCCTTCAGGCGCAATGTGTTTCAAACAGGTATTATCTGAACAATCGGAGGCTAAAGTTTTTATTTTTATATATAAACCTTTTTCTAAAGCGTTGTTGTGAAGTATGGGGTATTGATCTCCATCTCACTCATCAGACAAAATGAATATGATACAAAATTACTGTTTATGATAAAAGCATTGCAACAGACTAAGCATAGGATCTCAAAGTATGATAACCTGGATTTCCTTTAAAAAAAAATTAAAAAACAAAACAATCTACTGGCCTTTGTTTCTAAGTTTAAAGACCTTTTGCTTCCCATTCAGGAAGTTTTTTTTTTCAATTAAAATGTCAGAATTAGCATTGAGTTCCAGGCTTTATATAGTGGAGCAAACAAAGCCTTGTTTTTGGCTTAGAAAACAGGCAAATTGAACAGCTAATTCTGACATTTTGAATTGAAAAAGCTTCCTGGATGGGAAGCGGAATGTCTTCAAACTTGGGAAACAAAGCCCAGTGGATTGTTTAACTTTTTTTTTTGGAATGACTTTGACCTGGATGACTGAAAATCTCTACCAGCGATAACCTGGATTAAAAATACCATTTAAAATGTTCAAATAAAGACGTTATACAAATGTGTGTAGATAACTGGCAGATCAGAATAGCAACATGTAAAATACAAAAAAAAAAAACAAAAAAAACAACTATATATATTCTTGCTGCAAATGCAGGATAAAAACTAGTTAAAAGTACTATTAGTCTTTGCCTAAACATGCAGAATATTTTAAGTAAGTTACTTTGGTTGTTATACAGTATATTATACACTATATTCTTGTTGTGCAGCATTTCTTTTTTCTGGGTTGGAGGGGTTGTTGTTGCAGCCAGCATTGTGCAGCAACAAGTGTTTGTTGAGGAGGGCTGCAAACTCTTTGCTCCAAGCAGCTGAAGCAAGGCAACTGAGACAACTCCAGCACTGGCCATTCATTTAGCAGGATTGTAGGACGAGTATAAGCGGTTCATTTTAGGTGATTTGAAATGAGGACTTTTTAAAACCTGCATGTATCTCTGATCCCTGCAACAGGTCCTAATTTACACGTATTAAAAAAACATTTTGTGTTACAAACAGACAAATACCTCATTTAACACCAAAACTATCTCTGTTCAGTGTCTATAAATAAATAAATCCCTTCATACCCGCGTACCTAACTATTGAACACTGAAGTACTTGGAAAAAAATTTATTTAAAGAGAGTTTTGTTGATTTTTAAGAATTAAATAAACCACATTTGCAGACAACTAAACCTCAAAATGAAGCTCTGGCTGTGACTCAAAAATGAAGAAAGAGGAAACCTCAGCTCTAGCAGCTAAAAGCTTGTTTTTTTGGTTTTTTTTTGGTGGGGGGGCGGGCTTGTGCAACCAGTAGTATCACTAATGAAGTTATTGAGCACAAACACCAGCCGCAGACTTGCCGATAGGAACGTGCGTATTGATGCTAAGCTTGAAACAAATTGACTCAGTAAGGGGAAAGAAAGCTCATTTAAGGGCTAAAACTAAATTATTTAATCTAAAACTAATTAAGATCTCATTAAATTGACTTTATATATCAGCGGTCTCCCCAGATGCTCTCAGGTAGCACCATGGCTCGTATATCTACAAAGTGATAGTCAGGAATAATAATAAAAAAAATTATGATTAAATATACTTTTGCTAAATTTGATACAAGAGATCCAAGACAACTCCTTATAAATAAATGAAGGCTGTTTTTTTGCATTTCTGTTGTCATTATACCCCTAAATAACAGACTATACCCTGCAGAATTAAAATCATGCGCCTCCCCTCAGATTATTTCATGCATCAGGACCTGAGAGGTTTGGGAAAGACGGTAACTGATGAAATATGTTGTGTAAAAGTGGAAAATTGTTTTGCAATGCTTTCGTTTTTTTTTCTATGCTGATTACATTTCTAAGATTTCATAATGGAGAAAATATACAATAGATGAAATGAGAAAGTGATGCTCTAATGTTTTTTTTATCCTTTATTTTTCTCAAAGTGTCCTACAAGCGGAGTTAACACATTGTTGAACTACACCACCGGAGTGATTTTCCTGTAATGTTTTGTTTCTAACAGGCATTATGTGCAGATTGCGACCCACACAGATTTTTAAGTTTTATTATTGTACAAACATTTTGCAAAAGGAGATATAGATATATATATATATATATATATATATATATATAATTTTTTTTTTCCCTGTCTATTTAATGATTTAACTTGATCAAATATCCCTTTGCCTAATGAATGATTAGACTATGCACTTGTCAGTAAATAGTAATGGTCTGACAGCTACCGAATCTCCTCCTTGGTGTCTGCCAATGGACTAGGGCTAAAACAATCAGATTAATTGTGATTAATCGATTGTTGAAATGATCATCAACTAATTTAGTAATGGATTAATCGTTAACTGGAGTATAGAGACTGTAAAACATGCCTTTAGCTGACAGAGCGACCCAATTAGAGCAGTATTTATACCAAAACTGCGTTTAAAAAAAACACATATCTTGTATTCATTTTTTTTATTGGTCCGTTAATATGCTCTTCAGAGAACTCCTGAAGTGAGTTTTATTTTCACCCGCTTTAATGCCGTAAAAAAAAATCTTCTTTAAGGATGTTTTTGCTATCCGATTATTAATCTGAACTGAACAAATAATCAACTAATCGGTTAGCAAAATCATCGTTGGGGACGGTAGTTGCCGGGGACATGGAAGATGTTTTGTTTACCACAGCCTTAGGATGACACACTGGCTTTTTAAGTAAATACAAGTTGAAAATGAATGAGAAGTCCAGATTGGGTATTTTCTTTCTTAAACCAACACTAAGTTTTAAACCTTCATAAAATATTTTCATTGTGATTATATGTCAACTTAATCAGTTGAATGACACCTCTGTCATGGCCTGAGGATGTCTGTATGGCTTAGAGCCTGTGAACCAAGCCAGCCACACAACTACAAACATGCAGACTGCTTTACGGCATCTATCACTTCCTCCTTTCCCCATTCGTTATAAAGCAGGAAGTTGATGCATCTAGGTTTCCCTGACAGAATGAAAATTTTTGCAAATTTTTCAGGGTTGATATTCAGGAAATGCAGCACCTTCCTCTGGAATCTCTGTGTGTTTATTGTGAAATTATCAAATATAACATTTATCCATTTCAAGGCTCTAAACTCGTCAGTAAATCAGTCTTGACCTATTAAGAAAATTACAGTGTTGGGAACATCAAGTTTATTTTTTCCTTAATTTAATTTAAAGTAGGCATTTTATTTTTTAGTTCAAAACTTTTTTTACTTTAAATGTCTCTTATTAAACTCATCAAAACAGAAGGGATATATTAATCCAGTACTAAAATAATCGAAAGCTGCAGGCCCAAACATAATTATCTTTTGCAAAAATAACTGACAGCGTCTGGCTCGACGTGTGCCGTAAAATGTAAAGGTTTACCTTAGGACAAGGTTTCCTCAGGAACAACAGTTGTAATTATATACATCTCGTAAAACCTGTTTTCAAGTTGAACATTAATGATCTAACTGAATTCACAGGTTAAAAGCTGTTCCACTGCATTGTTCTGTGAGCATCTTCATGGCTAACCTGAAAATGCACCTCAAACCACAGCCTACATGTTACCCTCTTTAAACTTGTCTGCAAAAGCAGTGAGTGGGCCCAGCGGGGCTCCAGAGGCAGTGTCCCAAATATCATTTTTTCCTTTGCCCACAGACCCTCAGCATTTACTTGGAACAAAACCACTTGCAAGGATTTTCTAACTCTGCAGGGATTAATCTTTCCGGTCTGTGGTGGTACTGAGGTTGTAACCTCCATACCAAAAAGGAGCCAAGGACACAGGCCAAGACCCACTCTAATTGGATGGAGTCACCATCCAATCAGAAACTCTTTTTGTCACGATGAGTTTTCACACTTGAAAGAGTTTAACCCAAGCACCACAGGATTTCTAAATGGAGCGAGTAAATCTCTGTGAGCGTGAGTTCTGATGCTGTATTCACACTTATCTCTTTCCCGGATGTGCTCAAAACAAAAACTATTTGCCACTTAATGGTCCAGTCAAAGTCTAGACTAAAATTTTATATTAAATTCTATGTTGAGACCTACATGGAATAATAACAGACTCCTTATCCAATCTGACAGGGTTTGGAATAAACCATAAGAGATTGGCTGTAACTGCAGCCAAAGTTTGTTTTCCAAAGATGTGACTCACGAGGCCAAAGAATTGTTTACTTGCAACATACTTTCGATTTATTCAAAAACGTTAGAAATCTTCGACCTTTCCTTTAATTTCACATTTTGAGTTTCACTTGGTTTAATTTAGTCTTCTTGGAAGAATTTTGGCTATTTGATTATTATTCGATTTATCAAAAACATATTCAACAGATTAATCGATTTGCAAAATAATCGTTAGTTGCTACCCTAGTGTGCCCACTTACTACAATATCACTGCCCTGCTTAAACAGGTGATGGTAGCGGGTTTTCCGGCGAAATAAGTCAGCTGACTGTAAATAAGAGATGACGAGGTCTGCTCATGCGATCTCTGTTATCAGAGAACCAAGCATAACTGAATCATGCCGAGTCCTACTGTTGAAGTAGTACTAGATGTAGCACGGTTTGGTTGTGTCTGGCACCGTCTAGTTCAGCTGCGTTCCATTTACTCTCAGCAGTTATCTCGGTTATGGTTCTCGACACGGTTTCAAAGGGGTAGTTTACTGTACCCAAACTGTACCCAAAGCACTAAGATACAAACAATGTTTATTTTTTTGCAGGTAGAACTGGTCGCTTTATAAAGTTCTTAATCAAAAATCTATTCATTCAATGTTTGCTAATGCAAAGTAAACCCTCTTAACATCCATCCATCATCTACCACGTTTCTGTCAGGGTCATTAGGGACTGCTGCCCATCTCCAGCAGTAAATAAGGCGTGCTACACCCTGGACAGGTGCATTGCAGCCTTTAAAGATGTAACTGATTTTCTGATGAAACAATACCAAGCTTAGAAGTATAGACTTTTATTTATATATATATATATATATATATATATATATATATATATATATATATATATATATATATATATATATATTCCCCCTGCATTTTTTTCCACTAATTGAAATGTCTTTAACAGTGATGGGACGCCGTTACCTTGTTTTAGTAACGAGTATTCTAACTAATTACTTTGACTGTAACTATAACAGGGTAGGTGGGTGTTTCTGCTAGCGGGTGTTAACGTACAGCACACACAGAGAGATGGAGAGTGAGGAGGATCCAGCAGCAAAACAGCGTTTCCCAGATGGAAATACCGGTGTTACGTCGAGCTGCGTTTCCCCATCACATATGGTTTCCTCTGCATCTCCACACAGCGCAGGCGGCACGATTCACCGCGCAAGCGACAGGAAACGCGCATGCTCGCTAAAGGCGATGGATGGATGGATGGATGGATGGATGCTCTGCCTTTTCAACCTACTGTATTTTTTATTTTAAACATTATTTGATGGCCTTTGTGGCAGGGATGGAGATCCATATTTTATGTCACACACAGAGTATACATCTTGATAGATAGATGGATAGATAGATGTTGCAG